TGCCGCAGCAGCGGCAAGAGGAATACAGAGCACTAATTGATTGCAAGGGAAAAAGAAAAAAAAAAACGTTTAGGGGTTTTTACTAATGCTGAGCATGTGCAAATCTCTCCGCACGAAACTCCGCTCGCGGTGGTGTCTGTGACGAGTCTGTGGGTGCCTGCGCTCGCAGCACATGCGGGTGATTTTTTGCAGTAGCTTCAGAGGGAGCTGATTTACTCATTGTTTTTTGAGTAACAGCTGAGGGGAATTTGAGGGAAAACGTGACGGAGGTTTCGTATTTTAATGTCCAGCGATTTATAAACAACTAAAAATGATATAAAGCCTAAAAAGGTAGACAGGGCTGGTAGGCGAAGGGATTTGGTGAGTTTTTTTTTTTTTACTTCCTTTTTGTGCTGCTGGACCGCGACTTTGGTGCCCGCCACGCGGCGTTGTCTTCGGGGGGCAGGCAGCGCACGAGGTGCCTTCCCGTAGCTATTAGCTACGGGTCCACGTTTTTCCTGCATCGATGTGAACATGGCGTTTTTTTTGTCTGCTTTGTTAGTTGGACGTTTTTTTAGAAATGTTTTCACGAAAATTTTTGTTTTTATAGGTTTCTTCCGTCGTGTGTGTTGTGTTGTGCCAGGTTAGGTGGATGGGGTCGGTGTGGCGGCCCGGGTCCGCTTATGATCCTTGTTTCTGGACCACCATTCCTCCGCTTCGCGGGAGAGCCGTGGTGCCGTAACACGCGTGGGTGAGGGGGTGGGTGCCGTCCGGTTCGGTGCACTTCTCCTGTTGCTTCATCACTTAGTGTTTTTTGTTGTTTGCTTTCCCCTCCACACCTTTCCGGCGGAGTGAGAGGAGAGAGGGCTCGGCTCATGTGTGGGCGGTCGCCCTTATCGTGTAGGTTTATGCGTGCGCGTGCGTGTGTGGCGACGTGGCCCAACAGGGGCCTTCATCCGTGAGGCGCCGCACAGCCAGCAGCGGCTGCCGTCGGCGACGACTCTCAGTTTCATGCCGCTTGTGTTTTGTGATTGCCTGATCGTTTCAGGAGTGTCTCGGGCGGGGGGAGGAGGGAGTTTGCCCCATGCATGTGACCTTGTGCTGGGAGAAACCAGCCCCGCGGCCTCAGCCTCCATACACGGCGGCGAAGGAGGTACCTCGGTGAGGTGCATGCGTGTTTGGCGACTTGTATTTGTGCGGGGCGCCTCTTGAGTGGAGCTATGGGGCGCAGCTGTCGCATCCTGCCCACGGCGGCAGCTGGCGGGGTGGGGATGTTCCGGTGACCGCGATGGGAAGGAGAGGAGGTGGGTGCGTTGGTGGGTGCTGAATCACCCCCTTTCGTAAATGGGTGAAAAGTGAGGGGGCCGGACGTTTGGGGCGACGGTGTCTGCAGCCGCGCGCTCGTCTTGTGTCCTTTGCTCTTTTTCCACTTTTCTCTCTTTTCATTTTTTTTTTCTTCGTGTTGTCGCAGCGTCAACGGCGTTCTTTGTGTGTGTTTTTTTCTGCGGCGATGGAGCAGGCCGCGTTCTCCTTGCTGCACTGGAGATTGACCGCGCATCAGCTTCGATGCGTGAGACGCGGTGGCGGAGGAGGACGTCTGCGCGGGCGTCCCGCACTGCTACGCGGAATTCATGCATACCATTTTTTCCGCCTTCCCTCGCGAAACCGCGGCGCCGGTGCGCAAGTGCCACTGTCTCTGCGTGGGGGGGCGAAGACGGGGTGCTGGCGAGTGCGGTGCTGCGTCTCTTGTCTCTGGAAGGTGGCCGCAGGACTGGCATCACGCCGAAACGCCGTTTCGGGAGAGGAAGTACGCCGCTGCGAAAATAAGTATTTGCGTCAGCCTGGGTGACGTGCTGAGCCGGCTGGCTGCTCGCGGCGGATAAAATGGTTGGGGCTGCCAAGGCAAGCTCTTCTCATCCGGTCACCTGCGAGGCATCGACGCTTTTGCGGAACGCGCAGCTAACAGACCTCAACGGAAGGAAAAAGACACTTGCCCACCTCGACTGCGCCACTCGTGTCATTTTCACTGGCGCCCT